ATTGTAAAACATAATTCCGATATATTATAAATGCGCGCGTAGTGCGATATTGTCAATAGAATTATGATATAAATTCTATATATTAAAAAAAATGTGCCGCGTTATTATTTTAAAAACAATATGGGATGAAAATACAAAATGCAATATACCTATTTATTATTTCGCGCTCTCTTTTTGCATAATATGTATTCGCGTTAATGTAATGATATACATGCAAGATCGGTTAACACGTATACGATACAATTAAGTGCAACGAAGCGCATAGAGCCAGACAATGCAGAGTTTGTAGAATATTTTTTCTGTAAAGTTTTCAATATCTTCAGTATTTCTGACAATATAAGCTTATTTATTACAGAATAAAATCCAGTTTATAAAAATTGAAAAAAATGTACTTCAACCTACATTTTTTATTATATAGAAGATTTTGAATAAGAAAAAAATTTTTTAAATCAATGTTTTTTCCAAAGTAAAAAATGCTCGCTTTAAAAATGATAAAACAGTATATTTCTGCGAAGCAGATAGTAATGATTAACAATTAAGGAATACTAATCAACGACAATCAAATTTAACTTATGTATACTTGATTAGAGAGCAAGAAAGAAACGATGATAATTTTATTAATATACAAGCTTCATTATTTATCAATATCTTAGACATAAAGAAAAATTTTTTATGGAAAAGTAAGATGTCACATGGACTTTATAAGAATGGGATTTGTATGGTGGCCTTTTCAAATGAATAAAAAAGAGCAATAAGAGTGTTTAAAAACAACTTATCTTTGCTTAGACTACTTATAATTTTATTTTACAAATTAATGTATGTATTTTTAAAGTTCACTGACTTTGCGTTGCGGATGAAATATTTTTACGGGACAAAATGTTCATCGTATATGTGTTTGTAAACTCATTTTTTTATTTCTGAATACTGTCAACTGAAAATTATTGATTTCTTTATTCGGAAATACACTTTCTCTCTCACTAAAGAGGGGAAAATTCCTAATTGTGGTTTTCCCTTCTAAAGGACTATACGGACCCTTCGCCAAATCAATACAGTAAGAAACATTATATTCGAGCATAAAGAGAACTCGTATTCGAAGCTGAAACTATCCGTTTCGAGCACAACTAACTTGATAACTTCATCTTGACAAAGAAGAAATTAAATTAAATTTACGAATTTATCGATAAGTAACGATAAAAAGTTATATCGTTGAGTCGTATAAATAAGATAAAAATAGATATATATCGAAATTTATATCATTATGATAATTAATCAACGACTCTCACTGTTTGCACTCTCTAAAATTTTTAGATCTCACTCTGGGTTTTCATTCTTAAAGATTAAACTTTTTTTCAAGATTGATTCAAGATTGATTTTCACACTTTAGAGATTCCAAATAATTTAGAGAGTATTAAAACAATTAAACAATAAATAATAGTATCGTAAACAATAATAATAAAATAAATAATAATTTTTACTATAATTGTTAATAGAAATTGCGTTTACATTATTAAATATCTGTATTATTTGTTCCTTTTTGTAATATTTAATGATAAAGTACAGTTATTGATCGTCAAGGATATATATATAATAAGATTAGTAGGAACGAATGTTCTATTTTTCATAGTAAATGTGCCGTCCTAAACATCGGATTTTATATAATTATTGTCCGAGTTACAAATACTTTTCCACTCTTACGGCTTTCTGGAATATTAACTGTATATTTATATTATTTTTATTAAATATCTCATCGATAAATAAACGTACGTATGTAATATAAATATATATTATAAGGTAAATTAAATATAAATAGATATATTTTTTATCTCATGTTACAAATTATTATAATTTGTATTGTTTTTAAATTCGTTTAATTTCTGATTTAAAACAAAAGTAAATTATTTCTCTCTCTTTCTCTCTCCTCTTTCTTTCTCTCTCATCTATTACGTAACTCGTTTTTATAATTTATCATATTATTTGTGCATATATATTATTATATTTAAATTTCTTAAATTTCATACATTGATAACAATTGATATTATTATTAATCTATTTGTATTTTTATTTTTATGAATTGAATGTATCTGAAATATCTCAAGCAAAACAAAATGTCATGATTATATCGAAATAGCATCAAAATGGCTCCAAAGTGATTATTAAAAGTTATTTCTCGATTGATCACGATTCATTTTGATATCATTGCAACGTTATCATGTTGTTCTGCTTGGGATAGATCAAAATAGTCTTGCGTGAAAAAATTGGTATTTTCTAGCAACGTACACAGATGACACTGCGTAACAGTATACGATTCTGTGCTTTTCATTTATGATACAGCTAAAATGTCGTGTTCGACTTATTGTTTTACATCATTTCATTGAATACTAAATATATATTTTTTACTATTTATTTTTCTAGAAGTGATACTCCGATACGAGATTCAAGATTTCTATATTCGGATTCGGACATAGTATAAAATCTTTTGTATTCTTATCATCGTTCCATTTATCCGTTTTATATCAGTTTTTATTTTCTTTTTTATTTAATTTCGTATCATTTTCTTTCATTCTTTATTGATTTCACATACATTGACTTGTCCTCAATTCCAATTTATTTAACCGGCGCTTCCTTTTAAAAAGAAGATCACTTAAAGACACTTAAAGACTATCTCTAAGCACTATCACTATTAGTCCAAAGTTCTTTGCACAAATAAAACAGACGATTACGGCAATTATCGAACGAGAGAAGTATATATGTAAACAGAAAAATTAAATAAGTAAAGGAGGGTCAAGAATAGTAATTAATATATTTACATGTGCTTAATAATATATTTACATGTAAATTTCAATATTTTAATTTGTGATTATTATTATTCCATTCTTAGTTTAAGATTGCATTTCCGATAGTAAGCGGCGAGTATATAACTAATTATATAATCTGCACATTGCTTATAGAACTGAAATGCACTTGAAATGCAATATTTTAGCCTCATAAACTGAGGCTAAAATAATAATCTTACAAATTTAATTTTAAATAACATTTACCCATGATCACCGCCAAGTTCGGCAAAGTCAAGATAGGCAAAGCCACGAACTGATTCTGTAGATGATTTCAGGAATCTTGAGCAAAGATCTTCACGGATTCCCTGCTGAGTCGATCCAGAAGAGATTATTCAGACAATTGACCGACAACTTAGTCTCCTTACAGTCTTCGAGGCACTGTCGGAATACCAAGTTAAAGTATTAGAACTTCACGCGTACATTATAACCATCTCCTTCTTCGCGATGAAGACACCGTTATCTTATTCGCATTACGTTCTGCTATCTCTTTCCATCATATTATAGTTACACAGCCGTCGGAATAATCGCCGGCGCGTCGACATATACGAAGCGTGGAGCATCGACGTGCAAAAATCGTTGTTCAGAATTGAAACGTCGCTTGCTATAGGTATGGATGCCGTAGCTTATGGATGGCACATGCGCCGATTATACCACGGTCAGAATTGGCAAGTTTTTGCAATACCAGTCCGCCAACTTTGAACGCCTAAAGCATCATGAATGACTTTTTCTTTTAGAGCCTTAATAATACAGTTCAAACGTATTTTATCAGATAACATAATATTATATAAGTGCTCGTACACTCTTTTATTTTCGTAGGATAAGGTCTAATCAGAAATATGTTATGGGTTTAAAAAAATCTATTACCACTACTACAAGATCACATTGATTTTTTTAAAAATGAAAATCTTCATTTTTTATTACATATTCTTATAGCTTATCTCGAGAGTTTTTCAAAATACCATAATAAAATATTCTTTTATTAACTATTTTTTGAAATAATTAAGGATTGAAAGTTACAGTACCACCGGTATTAGAGCATTGGCTGCGTTCAAAAGAACACAAGCTTTGCAAACATTTATTTATAATTATCTGCTGAGATAAGATTATTTTTCTAGAAGATCTAAAAGTATAATATGATCCGTGAGGTACGATCTGTGAGCGTGAAGAAAACTTCCAACAGTGTATAATAAACGTTCTACTAAACGCAGCTAATTTGTAGGCAAATAGAGTCCTCCCATTTACTATATTAATACTACATTAAAAGCTACACCTAATTACTCTATAAGCGCAAAATATTCCTAGAATGTTATATGGATATTATTAAAAAAAATTAAAATAAATTATTATAATATTTTGAAAATACTATACAATTTTTAATATTATGGTATTCTATAGAGATTATATGTTCATTTATATGATATTTTAATAATATCTTAATATCCATAAAATATTATTAAAATATTTATAAATCTTAATTATTTTTAATTTAGTGCAATTTGAAATTGCAATTTTCACAATTCAGTAACGAAAAGTTCTTATCAGTTTATACTGCATCTTGTGCTGAAAAAACGTTTTGGCGTGAGTATACATATCCAGTTCTACAATTGCGCGTTAAAATTATTTTGTCTTTAAATGTATACTTATACTAAACGGATGTAACAGTTTTACAAATTAAAGTAAATTTTGTTATACTTTTTATACTTTTTAATGTTTATGCAATATATATATATATATATATAAAATAATGTTGCTTTTAATAATCATACAATATTATCAGAAGTGGACATATAATCTTTCATTTAATATTTCAAGAATATTGTTTAATATTATATAATTTCAATACAATATTTTTAAATGTTATATTTAATATTATAAAATATACCTAAAATATTACTTAATATTAAATAATATTATCCGCTTATAGGGTAATTACATAAATTTTATTTTTGTACAATTTTATTTCCATAATCGATAATAACGATATATTTCAAGCAAGGTCCTATTGAATGTCATGATAATTTGCCCAGAATAGATCTTAGTATTCAATTGGTATTCAACGCATTATCGCTTCAAATTTCGCGCCTCTTAATGTGCGCAAGATCAAAAGAACAAACGTCAAGTTCGTGGCGTTCGTGCCTCGCCATATCCCACTATGCTACCGTCTATCCCTGATGAACTGTCATCCATATCACTCTGATCACTCATCGATGATTTCATGGAAATGTGACTATTTTACAATTACAAAGAGTATTTCGATGTTTTGGTCAGTGTTTCCGAGGAGGATCGACAGACTAATCGATTGATTATTCTTCCTGGATCAACGGAAATACGCGTAATATCAGGATTACATCGTTGAAGGCGTAAACAGAAAAGTGCGCAGCTGTTCCTTCATTTAAACACTTTGTTTTATATCGAGGTAGGTCAAATGTTAGATGGCTGATGATTTATTCCGTCGAAAAAAATATTCTAGTTGTCCTCGTAAATTCAAATTTTGAAGTTTAGATAGTTAAAATAATTGTAGAAGTTTAATTTTATTAGATTGTCACAGGTTAAAGTGAGACTATATTATAGTGGAGTTACTTATGAAATTACTGTTCACGTCACTGCTTTGAATTTGTGTCATTATCTATTTTTTAAATGAGCGATTTGTATGTTTAAAAGCAGATTGAACAGTTGTCTGCATACATCCACATTATAGTATGTTGTTTTCAATTGTGATATGATAAGCAAATCCCACTGGGAGAATGTGTGTGATTAAAGAAAAATTGAATTAATATTAGTAAAAAATAAAACGAAAACATGTGTTATCTATTTACACATCACATTTAACTACATACATGCTATATACTTTGTTACAGATTCCAATATGCCAATTTTATACAGTGTGGTGGCTCGTGGAACAATTATATTGGCAAAACATGCTGCATGTGTTGGAAATTTTGAAGAAGTCACTGCAAAAATCTTGGCAAAGATACCACCGGACAATGACAAACTCACATACTCGCAAGGGCCTTATCTTTTTCACTATATCTGTGAGGATCGCCTTATTTACATGTGCATTACTGACGATGTACGTATTAGAACCATATCAAGGCACACAGATCTTTAAATCAAAAGTGACACGATTCAAAAAATTAAATTTTTTGGAAAAGATCAAAAACTATCTTTCCCTTTTGAAAAAGTTCTCGAATCAATTAATAACGATAAAAGGAATATATTCTTAATATATGATTAAATGATTAAATATTATTTTTATCATTTTTATGTCAAAATTCGTAAAAGAATCACCTTTTTTGAATTATGACGATTTTTCTTAAAAATTATTCTTTTTTAGTTATGACGATTTTAATAAAGTTTTTTCATAAAATTAAGTTAGTTCATTTCTGATTGATATAATAATGATAACTTAATTCATTCACGGTAATAATTCGAAAATCATGTTTTTTCAGTGTCATTTTTTAAATACGATATAATAAAATTTTGTTTCAGGATTTTCAAAGATCCAGGGCATTTTTGTATCTCAATGAAATCAAGAGAAGATTCTTGGCTGTTTATGGACCAGGTGCTCAAACTGCCGTAGCTTATGCCATGAACACAGAATTTGGCCACGTTTTGGCTAACGAAATGGTACTGTCAGAATTGATTATATATCTTGAAATATTGTCTCACACTTTACATTTTTTTCTTTTTAGAAGCATTATAGCGAATCTAAGGATCTTGATAGATTGTCTAAAGTTCATGGCGAGTTAGATGAGCTTAAAGACATAATGGTAAAAAATATCGACAATATAGCGATGCGTGGCGAGCGATTGGAATTGCTTGTAAACAAAACAGAAAATTTGTCTGCTAATGTATGTAAAAATATGCTCACAACTTAACATTGATAATCATAGAATATTATAAAATTCACTTTTATTCTAGTCCGTGACGTTCAGAAAGACAAGTAGAAACCTAGCACGCTCCTTATTTTGGAAGAATGTCAAAATTTATGTCATTGTCGGCGCAATTTTAATAGTAAGTCCAACATTGCGATCAATTTCAGATCTTTTTAATCTCTATTGCAGTCTGATTCATTTTTTCTGTTGCAGGTTGTAGTATACGTGATTGTTTCTATAACATGCGGAGGTTTGGCTTGGCAAAAATGTGTGGGAAATTAATATATTATGTGTATGTACAATACAATGTTCAATGCCAATTGAATATATACAGAAGAAAAGTGAAAAGTGCGTGAAAATCTAGTATAAGACTGAAAATTATTAGATCCGCGAAATTACACTATTTACAGATTTATTGTT